CATAGTAATCCATTGTATAAATATACTATCTCTTTATAACACTACCATCTTACCAGCCCAAAAGCCAAATAATAAACAAAAATTAATTCAAAACTTAAGATCTATCAATAAAAGTATACTTCTTCTACATCCAGTACTACCTAATCCTTACACTCTAGTAACCCAAGTACCCCAAAGTCTATTTCCCAGTATTAAACGATATATTTTTTTACTATATCTCTCCAATCTGACTCTCATCCTTTATTTGCCTTTAAGTAAACTAACCCAGAAATACTGAGAACCAGTCAATATTGTTATGAAAAAGATTTTAGCTAAGTTGTTCTAATAAGCTCAGTCTAATAAAGTTTTACCCTATTGCTGCTGATTGCTCTGTTGTATATTAGGGCAGTTCCTCAACAAATATCCAAATTGTCAGCATATACCTGTTACTCAAACTAATACAGAAGTAAGTTATCCTTCAAAATATACCATAAATTTTATATAAAAGTTTTAAAAAGTGACACAGGCCCAAGTGCACTTAAAATACACACTAAAAATAGTAAGCCCCCCTAAAAAATCTCCAATCCCATTGTATAAAAATTAAATACAAAAAATTCTTCAAACATAATTAAAACAAGCTTCCACCCCTCCTCAAGTATGCATCATCAGTTCTATTGTCCTAGACCACAAACCTATGTCACAAACTACCCCTCCCACACACACGCCTATCTGGACAGCCTTTTCTTCCTTAAAAAATTCTCCTAATGTCATATTTCTCCTGTAAAGTTCTTATCCAAATCCCTTCTCACTTTCTAACCAAGTCATACTCCACAACTACCAATAAACAAAATCTATGAAGAGCTTCCATTATCCCAAACTACTCCATACGCTGAACTCTAACCCACTGTAACATCACCAAACATAATCCAAACTCATTCTGCCTTCTGCTCAGGAAGAAGTCCAGATTTCTCTCTTCCATTACCTAATATAAACTCCCCGCAATATCAATATTGGCACTGTGTGCTGTTTTAACTGCCCCAATTATTCGCCTCTTTCTATATCACCCAACAAAGAGACTGGCCTTAGAGAAACCAATACCTTCCACCAAAATTATATCTCCTCAGTTTCTAACTGTAGCATCTTTTGCTACATTTTTCAGGTCATATGAACAAGAAGTCAATGTAGACCAGATTCAGCTTCTCTTTGGAGTCAACTTTTGGGGATGTCTGAAAGGAAAGAGCAGATTCTTCTTTGCCTGCAGAGACAGCATCTGCTCCTGCCTGCCGACCAAGCCAACTCTGAGCTAATAACTATCCCTCTAACTCAGCACCTTAAACACAATCGAACCATAACAAACCCTTGGTATCCAGCCTAGGAATGAACATGAACTACTACTAACACTGCAGATCTAGACACCTTAGAAAATTCCGGAATCTCTCAAAAATGCTCCAAAAGTCACTAGATGAGAGAAGACTGTTGTTTCTGTGAACTAATGCCCTAAACAGACAACCAGGGACCTAGCAACCAGGAATTCCCCCTTGGCTACTCCCCATCCTAACTCCCTTTCTAGTCATTCTTCTTTTTTATAACTCTTGCTCCCCATCTTATAAATCTCTTTCAGAAATTTTTAATAAACCACCTCACTGTCATCTCCTGAGCAACTTCCCAAGGACATGTGAAAATGATGCTCCTCCTTCAGACCTTACAGCACCAGCCCCCCAACATTCCCTGCAATTCAGCAGGAAGTAACAAGAGATAATGTTGTGCCCTAATCGTCATCATATTTCTTTAGAGTGTGGAATGGAGGAAAAATGTGGTGGTTGCTCCCAGGCCTGATCACTCCTTGAAAAACCTGATAACATCTAAGGGACCAGAGCAGAGACCAGATTAAAGGCTAGACCAGATAACTGATCCTGATACAGCTCTGGCCCTGATCACAAAAGCCCAAACCCAAGTTATTTAACAGGCCCAAATTCTGACCAAGTACCATCTTCCCTGCTTTTCCATAAAACCTCTGTAAAAAGAAATTGCCCTTGACTCTCCTTGTGTGATTTGGTCCCTTGGCATCTTTCTCAGACCACACAATAAAGGCCTGTTTGTTTCTTGAATCAGCTTCTTTTTTCTTTCTCTTGCCCTCAAGTTTTCCAACAGTCCATACCTTTTCAGTCTATATCCAGAATAGATCACTCAGAGGCTGGACTTTATGAGTAGTAATGTGGCATTAAGATTGGAGAAAGACTCATCAACATCCTATGTTATGTAGATGTCACAACCTACAACCGTGCTTTCTGAAACTGAGGAGGACCTGAAGCGTTTGCTGTGGAAAGCCGAGGACTGTAGGTGTCATTGTTGTTATCGTTGATTGCCTTCAAGTCAAGCATGACTCATAGTGACCCTACGAACAAAAGGCCTGAAGCCCCTCTACAACTATTGGCATTTATCAAAATTAATAGTTTCTAGAGGCATGTTGTTTAGGAAATGGATGCCACTCTTGCTTCCAAATCTGTCATAGTATGGTATTGCTGTTATGTGATGTTGAGTTGCCTGCGGTACACAGCAACCCTATGTGCAGCAGCTCTGCACCCTTCCCTGTCCTGAGCCAGTCTTACTAATTTGACTACAATTTAGAGGGCTCAAGTCCCAACTTTGCCCCTTTCTGACTGTGTAACTCTAGCCTGTGTGCCTTATTTTATGGATTTTCAGTTGCCTCATTAATTTTAGAACTTTTCAATATATTTTTTAATTTAAGTGAAGACTTATAAATCTTATTAATTTATAGGATTAAATTAGTAAAAGCATATTACACAAAATTAAGATTGTGTATCCCTCGACATATCCCCTGTACCTATCCTATCTATCTAGACCAAGAAGATGTTCTCGAACCAAAGCAAGGGAACACTGCATGGTTTAAAATCAGAAATGGTGTACATCAGGGTTGTATTCCTTCTCCAAACCTGTTCATTGTACATTGAGCAAATCATTCGAGAAGATTTCTTTGTGAAGAATGTGGTAGCAGGACCAGAGGAAGACTCGTCAACAACCTGCGTTATGCAGATGACACAACCTTGCTTACTGAAAATGAAGAAGACTTGAATCTTGCTGCAGAAGATCAAAGACTACAGCCTTCAATATGGATTGCATCTCAGCATCAAGAAGAAAAAAAATCCCAACCACCAGACCAATAAGCAACATCAAGATAGAGAAAAGGTTGAAATTGTCAATGATTTCATTCCACCTGGTTCAACAATCAGCATCCTTGATACCAGCAGTCAGATCATGAGACTTGCATTGCTCAAGTCTGTTGTAAGATATCTTTCCAAAATACTGAAGAGCAAGAATGTCAATCTGAAGACTCTGAAGTGTTCCTGATTCAGACCATGCATGGTCTTTTCAACCTCGTTATGCCTCTGAGAGCTACACAGTGAATAAGGATGACAAAAGAAGAATTGATGTTTTTGAGTTGTAGTGTTGGAAAAGAGTAAAGGATATCCCATGGACTGACAAAAGAAAAAAGAAAAACGTGTGTCTTGGGAAAAATGCAGCCAGATGCTTCTCGGAAGCAAGAATAGTGAGATTGCCACACATGCTTATGGCGCATTTTTCCGAGAGACTATTCGTTGCAAAGGGACATCCAAAGGGTCAGTGGAAGAGAGGAATACCCTCAAAGAGATGAAAAGACACAATGACTACAGCAATGGGCCCAAGTGTATGAGATGATGAGGACAGCACGGGATAATACAGGATTCTGATATGTTATTCTGGGGCCACTGCGAGTCCTACTCAACAGTACCAAACAACAACAATCCCTTAGTAAATTGGTTCATCAACACGAGTTTTAAATTGTCAATATCACAATCACTGCTTTCATTTCTGTTGTTAGGTGCCATAGAGTAATAATTCTCAGCAATCCTGTGTACAATGGAATGAAACATTGTGTGATCCTGCACCACCCTCACAGGACCTGCTGTGTTTGTTGATGCAGTCACCGTGACAGTCCATCTTCTTGAAGGTCTCTCCTAAGCTAGCCAAGCACGATGTCCAACATTCAAAAAGTATGTAAGAATTGTCACACTCTTCGTTTCAAAGGAATACTGGCTGCTCTTCCTGAGGTAGGTCTATATAGTTTTGGCAGTCCACATCATATGTAACGGTAAAGGTGGGTCACTCTTTCCAGAAAAGCCTCCTCCTCCTCCCCTCCTCCTCCTCTCTCTCCTCATCCTCTCTCTCCTACTCCTCCTCTCCCTCCTCTCTCTCCCTCCTTTCTCTCCTCCTCCTCCTCTCCCTCCTCCTCCTCCTCTCTCTCCTCCTCCTTTGTCTCCTCCTCCTTTCTCTTTCTCTTCTCTTTCCTCCCCTACTTCTCTCTTCGGCCTCTTCCCCCTCTTCCTCCTCTTTCCCCCTTTCTCTCCTTTTCCTCTCTCACCTTCTTCTCCTCTCACTCCTCTTTCTCCTCCCCTCCTCTCCCTCCTCTTCCTCTTCTCTCTCCTCCTCCTCTCCCTCCTGCTCCTCCTTCTCTCTCCTCTCTTTCCTCTCCCTCCTGCTCCTCTCTCCTCCTCCTCCTCTCCCTCCTCTCATTCTCCTCTCCCTCTTCCTCCTCCTTTCTCTCCTTCTCTTCTCCCTCCTCCCCTCCTCCTCTCTCCTCCTACTCTCACACCTCTCTCTCCTCCTCCTCTCTCTCTCCTCCTTTTCTCCTCTCTCCCTCTTCCTTTCTCTCCTTCTCCTCTCCTCCTTCCTCCTTCTCCTCCTCTCTCTTCATCCTCCTCCCCCTTTACTCTCCATCTTCCTCTTCTTTCTCCTCTTCCTCTTCCTCATACTGCTACTCCCAGCAGAAAATCCAGGCTCCACCAGAAGGGTCCCCCTCCTGGAGGTGGGCGGGACCTCTCAGAATGTAGGCGGGGCCTCCCTCCAGTTTGGCTTGAACTTCATAAGGACAAGCCACTTTGTACCTAACTGCAGACCACCCTCATTGTCTCTGTAGGGGGCAGAATTCAAACCATCCTGAATCTTCCCTTTTTAAAGCAGTCATGCCTTCGCCCAAGAATGGCAGGGCTTCCCAGGAACCTGTTTCCGTCAAACTGGACATTGTGTCTTCTCCTGAAAATACCAAGAACCAGCAGAGCAAGGTTTCCAGCTTCGTTGAAGGAAGTCCTTCAGAGTTGACAGATTCGGAGAACACCAAACGCATAACGTAAGTCCCCCTCTTTCTGCCTTCCAGCCTGGCAGCTTGCAGTGGTAGAATGCCTGAGTGACTTGAGCATTACTCCTATCCCCTTGTGCACATAGGGAAATTAAGATTGGGAAAGGTAGAGTGAGAGGTTAAGTAGGGATGAGAGTGCAGGAAGGCAAGAATGTAGAATATTGGGAAAGTAAACACACACACACACACACACACACACACACACACCAATTAATTAGACCACTACCGTTGAGCCAATTCTGACTTCGTTGTCCTCGATCAGGTTTCCAAAGCTGTAAATCTTAATGAGAGGAGTCTTCCATCTCTCAGAGCATCCCATCTTTCTCAGAGAACCAGATGGATTCAAATCGTTGATCTTTGGGTGAGCAGCACAATATGCTTCATTAGCTCTATAAAAGCCAATAAAATTGTGCTCCAAGATCTCAAATTGTCTCACGAGGAAACCTGAGGCTATATCCTGAGTCACTGGCAGGATGAGGAGGGCTAGATTCCAGTGATGGCCCCAAAGTCAGTGTTGTTCTTGGTCAGTCCTCCTGGAAGCAGAGCCCCCAGCTTCACGGAGGCAAAAATGCAAGCTGAACTCAAAGCTGCAGTGGTGTCCCTGACAAACAAGTGTTGCCTCTCCCCTGCCTCCAACCTGCAGTCCTCCCAGCTTCTAGTTCTAGCAGAAATTATTGTGATGACACGGTGTATAGAAGATTCTGGTGGTTTCTATTTTTCCAGGGTAGGGGTGAGACCATTTAGAAGACTTTCAGTCTGAGATAAATACAGTCTTCAAAGGTGGACAGGAAAACCAAACTACAGGGCTCCAATTCCTTTCTTCCAATGGGAACCCACCCCTCAGCCAGAGAGTTTTCAGAAGCTGTAAAATCTCATGAGAGGAAAGTACCATCTTTCTCCTGTGGAGCAGCTAGCTGGTGGATTTGAATCGTGCACCGTCGAGTTTGGCAGTGCAACTCTCTACTCACAAGGCCACCAGAGCTCCCACCCTTCAACCAGAGTAGTTCATTTGCTTAAAGTAAAATAAAAATGTAAGGAAACTTGCTGGTAGAGAGGTTCTGCTGCTTTAAGAAGAATGTTGTAAAAACCATTGTTATGGTAGAAAGTACTGGGCAGAGGCTCAAATCTGAGTTCTCTAAGCTTGGCTGCTTCATCTCTAAGTCTCAGCTTCCCTACAAACTAAACAAGTAAAAAATTGGTGACAGTGTGATTTAAAGACTAAGAAAAGAGTGACAGGGAGAAGTCCTCAAAGGAGAAGAGCCCCCTCCCATCTATCAGGGCATTTTAGTGACCACCACAATGACTTTAACTGTGTCCTGGTTTATCTGCCCGCGAGGACTAGTCCTAAAAAGAGCTGCTAAGAACTTGACCCTGAGGGAGAGCACTCTAGCCTTGGCACCATCCATAGTGGATGATATTTCTCAATTAGAGGCCTTGAGGGAACCATCTAGTTCTGTGTCCTGAACTGACCACACAGTTTAAAGGCAATGTCAGATTCTTAAGAATCACAGCTATAAAGTAAGTCAGAGGTGGAGGGGACTTTGTAGCTAGAAGGGGGAAAGAGTGACGGAGTGAACACGGCACCTCTGGAGTTGGTTTCAACACCCACAGAGCCGCTCACCAGCTTGGGCTTGCGATAGCACCCCTCTGTGTTCCAGCTGCTGTTCTGTAAGTGAAACAACTGAGAGGTTTATACATCCGTGGAGCCCTGGGAGGAGCTCTGGTGGCTTAGACCATAGAGAGTTGCATTGCTAAACCAAGGACAGCCTCTCTGGCGGTTCGAATCCACCAGCTCTTCCTCTATAGTTTACAGCTTTTTAAACCCACTGTAGTCAGAACAGCTAATTCAGAACCAATTTGACAGCAATATGGGTGTGACAGAGAGTGATATAGAGTCTTAATGTTGTAGTGTACTCTAATATAAGGTCATCATGAATCAGAATTAACCACAAGGCAGTTGTTGTATGGAGAAGTAGTGGTGTAGTGTGTTATGCATTGCATGTTGGATCACTAACCAAAAGATAGTGGTTCAAATCCACCCATTGCTCTGAAGGAGGAAGATGAGGTAGTCTCTTCTTATAAAGATACGGATCAAGATCGGGGTTGTGGAATTTTTGTTTGTTTAATGGTGGCTGTGAAGGTGGTTTGAGCATAAAGTCCCCGTCACAGTAAGGGCTGATTGTTGGGACTTTTATGAAGTCAAGCCTAAAACATTGATGTCCTCAATCTCAGTCCAGTGCTTTACACAATTCTGTTCTTGAGTTGGATGAGTTGCCTGAAGGACTAATTTCTTAAGCCATTTAGAAATTTCCAAAGGGATCAGTTGACCTGCACTTGATTGCAAAACATACCCATCACGGGCAGCTAAGTGCAGTGGTCTGTCCGTGAGGATGACTTCACAGGGAGGAACAAAGGCAGGGTGCTCTCCATTCTCTCCCTCTCCTAATTATTCTCCTTAACCCTTAAGAGAAAGTAAGATTAAGAATTAAGAGTCTTAGCATAAAGTTAACAGATATTTGGGACAATTCTTTTCAACATTTGAAGAAATTTGGCAAAGTTGAACAGGTTGCTCAAGATGGCAAAGCTTGTTAAAATCCCAGGCTTGAATTCCGGTTTATCCAACTCCACAGACCAGGTTCCTTCCAAAACCCTTCCATTTACTTTCAGAATAAGTCACCAAAGTGAAGGCTTTTATAGAGAATTAATCAGAGGCAAGGGGAGAGGGGGGAATATGGAAATTAAATGAGGGGGGAGGGAGTGTGACAAGATGTCTTTGAGCCCAAACTCCATATGACTCTGTCCCCAGACCCCACCCAGGGCCCCAAGTATCTGATCTATTCATTCGGATGTCTTCCCCCATCTCGCTTTCTGTCCTTTTCTCTGAGTTCATCCTTGTTTCTGCTAATAGTTTTTTGTGGGTTTTTTTGTTCTTTGTTGTTTGTTTTTTTTACCTTGGGATGGTCACTACCCCCCTTTTGAAGCATTGGTTTCCTCAGCTATGAAATAGAGTTGTCCTGTTACTTGTTTTGGGGAGCTCCGGTGATCCAAAAGTAGGCAGTTAAAATCCACCAGCTGCTCCTTGGGAAAAAGATGGACAATATCCTCTTGCGCAATTTACAACCCTTTGAAAACCCTCTGGAGAGTAGATATGAGTCAATTGCAACTCAGCAGCAATGAAGTTTGGGAGTGCTTTTATTTTTATTATTATTGCCTTCGGAGGCAGCTGAGTACAGTTGTAGATGAAGAACAAAGTCTCTGAAGCAGCACTTGGGTAAGTTTCTGGTGTGTGTGTGTGTAGTACTGAAGAGCAATGGTGTCACTCTGGAGACAAAGGTGCACCTGATATAGATCATGGTCTTTGCAATCACTTGCTATGCATCACAGAGCTGGATAATGACTAAGGATGATAGACGGAGAATTGATGCCTTTGAGCTGGAGAAGAGTATTGAATATACCATGGACTGATAAGAAAATGAACAGGTTCATCCTGGACAGGGTTAAGTCAGGCTGCTCCTTGGAGGCAAAGATTCTGAAGCATCATCTGACATACTTTGGACATGTTGCAAGGAGGGACCGGTCCTTGGAGAAGGACATCATGCTTGGGAGGGTGGAGGGACAGTGCAGGAGAGGAAGATCCTCTATGAGGTGGATTGATTCAGTGACTGGGGTAATGGGTGTAGGGATGTCGGAGACAGTGATATTGACACAGGATAGGGCAGGGTTTAGGGTTGTTGTACATATAGTCACTATGAATCGCAGGTGACTCAACAGCCCATAACAACAACAAACAACAATATCCTTGACAAGTGGCTAATAAAACTCTCTGTGCTTCAACTTCCTCACTTGCAAAATAAGGAGGATCATATATAGTGCCTTTCTTATACTCTTGACCAGAAAATTAAATTCTGTGCAGCCTTCAGTATGGACTGAGGCTCAATGTCAAGAAGACAAAGATTCTCACCACTGGACCAATCGGTAGCATCAGGATGGATGGCGAAGAGATTGAGATTGTTCACAGCTTCAGTTTGTTCGGCTCCATGGTCAACACTCCTGGCACCAGCAGCCAGGAAATCAAAAAACGTATTGTGATGGGAAAGTCTGCTGTTAGGGACCTCTCTAAAGTACTCAAGAGCAACGGTGTCTCTCTGGAGACTAAGGTCCGGCTGATACAGGCCATGGTTTTTGCAATCACTTGCTATGCATCAGAGTTGGACAATGATTAGGGAAGACAGAAGGAGAATTGACGCCTTTGAGCTGTGGTGCTGGAGAAGAGTATTGAATGTACCATGGACTGCCAAGAAAACAAACAGATTCATCCTAGAGAGGGTTAAACCAGACTACTCCTTGGAGGCAAGGATTCTGGGGCTTCGTCTGACATACTTTGGACATGTTGCAAGAAGAGACAGGTCCTTGGAGAGGGACATCATGCTGGGTAGAGGGACAGCGCAGGAGGGGAAGACCCTCTATGAGGTGGATTGATTCAGTGACTGGGGTAATTGGGATGGGTGTGTCAGAAGCAATGCGATTGGCACAGGATAGAGCACGGTTTAGGGCTGTTGTACATAGGGGTCGCTATGAGTCGCAAACGACTCGACGGCACATAACAACAACAACATTCCCACTACAACATCCACTTATAACTGCTTAATTGTACATTATTGGCTTTTCTTTTCTTTCTTTCTTTTTCTTTTTTTTTTTTTTGCAAAGCGCTTAACATAGTATCTGGCATCAAGTCTTATGATGACATCTGAGTGTTAGCTGCTAAAACCAAGACAGATCCAGCCCTATAGATCCAGTTGTGCTAGGCAAGAACAAGGTAACTGAGAGATGACCACATATCTCCTAACCCAAGTCTTGGCTTGTTATGAAGGGCTAATGTTGGCTCTCATCTCCACACACCTGTATCTTCTTACGTCCTTCTCTTGTAGAGGATTCCAGGCCTTGGTTCACCTGGTGAAAAGTAACATGGGCACAGGAATCCTGGGGCTCCCCCTGGCCATAAAGAACGCAGGCATTTTGGTAAGGGGGGCTTGTGTTGGTGGGGCTGTGGGCACCTGGGTGGTGGGAGGAGAGGTTCTCAATTGTTTATAGTGGTCTGAAATGAGCAGTCATCCTGGGAGGCAGTTGGATCCAGACATGGAGTCCAGACATCTAACTTGAATTTGAATCTGCCTTGGCCACAGACATACAGTGCTCTTGGCCAATTGTTTCTCTATGGTCTGAACCTCAGTGTCCATCCCCAGAATCCCTTTTAAAATGGCAAGAGTTGGACTCTGACCATCTTCCAAATGTGTTCTGAGAGCTTTGCATTTCCTCAAGGATTCCTCAGAGACCATTCTTGATATGTGGTCATAATTGTGTATGCTATTCCAACCACAGCAGCCCTTTATAATGGCTTAATTATACCTTATCGGAATTCTGCTTCAGATGGCTTTGTTTATGGGTTGTTGTTTTTTTGCAGTCATCGTTCTATTAGTAATTGACTTTTGTTGTTGAAAATATACACAGCCGAATGTTCAACAATTTCTCCATGTACAATTCAGCCATATTCATTGTTTTTCTTCAAGTTATGCAACCATTGTCACCCTCTATCCTCTGTTTACATAAACTCATCAGTCTCTAGTTTTCTTATCCAACCTTTCAAGTTACTGTTGCCAATTTGATTTTAGATTGTGTTTGAAAGAATAATTTTTGCTGCTCAAAAGAATTTGCAAAACAGTTTTCTGGGAAATTCTTTGAGTTCTCAGCATGTCTGCAGTCACCAAATCCCTCTTTTCTGTTTTCTTCTAAACCCGTTTCCTTCTCTCCCCTGCCTTTCTCCTCCCTCCTGTAGTTGGGCCCTCTCAGCTTGCTGGCAATCGGCTTGGTGGCTTGCCACTGCATGCAAATCCTGGTGAAGTGTGCCCGCCACTTCTGCCACAGGTGAGGAAAGCAGCACTCTTGTGTCAATTCCTTTGATGCAGGGTTCTCAGAGGCATTTTAGATATGTACTTCATGTGTTATTGTTGGTGTTTGCCATTGAGTCATCTTTTCTTAACTGTAGCCTTAGTTGAGCTTTGTGGAGAGACTGGTACTGTTAACTCAAAAGTTGTGCCTCTCTGGTGGTTCGAATCTGTCAGAGGTTCCAAAGGAGAAAAATGGGCAGTCACCTCCTATGGAGTTTACAGCCTCATAAACACAAAGGAAAGTCAGCTGTGAATTGGTTCCAATTCAGTGGCAGTGAGAGTCAGTCTTAGTGGGTGATTGCCAGCTCTTTCTTCCACAGTCCCTCTAAGTGGATTATATTGCCAAAATTTAGGTAAAGAGTTGAACACAAACATTTTGTACCACTGATACAGAATAGGAGTTTAACTGCTAATCTTCCCCAATAAGACCATTAAAAAGAGAAAAGAGTAAGGCTCTGCCATGTTACTCACCAAAAGCCAAATTATATATGTGCTTCATAAGATTTTCAAGCTCTGATTTTTCAAAAGTAGACCACTACTCATTTCTTCTGAGCCTTCTCTGGGAGGACTCAAGCCTTCTAACCTTCAGTTAACAGCCAAGCGTGTTAAACGTTTACATTACCTCGGGACTCCACATTATTCATTCAGTGATTTCAGTTGGGCCATTCTGCTTATCTGCTTGGCTCATCTGTAAATTGAGCATAAACCATGCATGCTCATCCTGCCTGCCTCAGAAAATTGTTCTGAGGATCCAGGAGAATCATGTCAATAAAAAAAAAATACAATACTGTGCATCATAGACATTCTTACTCTTGATATCTTGCAGTTTCCTCATTTGACAGGTGAAAAAAAATTAAGCCATCAAGAAAACCCTACCAGTTGTCAGAGCCCATATTAGAACTTGGATGTCTTCAGGTCTGTTCTTCCCACTGTCCAGCTGGGTCCTGCTTTGCTCGTTACTTCCTGCCTTTTGAGCATGTGACCCTGGGTTAAGTGATTATTGATGATTGTGTATGTGCTCTCTCCTGCAGGCATAACAAGCCCTTCATGGACTATGGGGACACAGTGATGCATGGACTAGAATCCAGTCCTAGCTCCTGGCTCCGGAACCATGCCCGCTGGGGAAGGTACTTTGTTCTTGCTCTGCCTCTGATGAGATAGAAGGCATTGGGTGAAAGTTCTGCTGTCTTCTTTCCCTGGAAATGTGGTTCATGTGGCATGAAATGTCAGACTATCCATGTGGAAGGTGTTCATTGACAACATCTCTGCCCAGGTCCTCCTTTTACGCTCCTTTTATCCTTTGTCACTGGAGAGTGACAGGGTGCTTTGCTATTCAGATTTGATATGATTCCCTCTTTTATTTAGCAACATTTATCCAATTGCTACTATGCACCAGTGCCTAGGCCTCAGGGCTATTTCCTTTCTCCATTCAATCTTCAATCTGTATGCTGAACAAATCATTCAAGAATCTGGACTTTATGAAGATGAGTGTAGCATCAGGAGTGGAGGAAGACTCATCAACAACCTACATATGCGGATGACACAACCTAACAGATATGTCTTACAGAAAGTGCAACCAAAGTGATTCTTGGAGGAGAACATGATGAAGCTTTGTCTCATATTTTGAGCATGTTGATAGGAGAGGCTGTTCCTTAGAGAGGGACAGCATGCTTGGAAAGGTGGAGGGTCAGCAAAAGAGAAGAACTTCAACAAGATGAATTGATACAGTGTCTGTGGCAATAGGCCGAAGTTTATCTGGATGATGAGGATGGCACAGGATAGGACAGAGTTCAGATCTGTTATTCATAACATTTCTAAGAGTCATACTCTCCTTAAGCATTTAACAACACAACCAGGCACTGGGAAATCATGGGGAAATGAGACAAATAATGACAATTTGCCCTCACAAAGCCCATAATTCAGTGGGAAAGACAGCTATTACACCATTTTTTAATAACATCAGGGATAAGTACTCTGAAGGAAACATTGGTGTCCCAGTGGTAAGGAGCTGCGCTGCCAACTAAAGGCACACAGTTCGAATCCACCAGCTGTTCCCTGGGAGAAATATGAGCAATCTTCTATACCATTGACAGCCTCTGAAAAGCCACTGGAAGGTCAGATATGAGTCAGTTCAACCCAAAAACCTGTAACAACTAAGCAGGTAAGGTGACATGTGCAGGGGAGGAAGTTTTCCAGCTGAAACAGCTTGTGATGAGTTCTGAAGGAAGAAATGGGAAAATGAGGAATTTTCTGGAAGTGGGCAAAGCCCTCGACCTTCCAGAAAGAAGGAAAAGCACAGGAAAAGCAAGGAGTATGTGGCAATTTCAAGATACACAAAGACCAGGCAACTTAAAGTCAGAGAGGAAAAGGATCCTGCTGTCAGATCAGGTTAGGCTGCAGGGTGTTCTGAGCCCTCGTAGAGATTTATTCTTTTCTTAAAAGCAACCAGGAAAGCACTGAAGGATTTAGGCAAGGATGTGATCATATTTACATTGATTACATAAAGATCTGTTTGGCTTATGCAAGACTAGATTTTAAGGGAGCAAGAGTCGTTTTTTATTTAGTCAGACCAGTAAGGAAGCTGTTGACCATGGCCATGCAGGTGACAATGGTGGAGTGGAATAACCCAATGGCAATGAGAAGGAGAAGAGTGGGTTTGATTATTAATTAATTGGATGCTGGGAAAAGATGAGTCATAAACAACTCAGATTTCTGATGACCTTTATTTTGGGCCAAGTTACTCCTCGGAGGCTAGGAGTTTGAAGCTCCGTCTCACATGTTCTGAGCACATGGCCAGGAGTGGCTCCCTGGAGAAGGGCATCATGCTTGGAAGAGTAAAGGGCCAGTGCACGAGAGGGAGACTCTCGATGAGATGGATTGATAAGTGACTGAGGCAATGGGAGTTGGTGTGTCAGAATTAGTGAGACTGGTTCAGGACAGGGCAGAGTTCAGGGCTGCTGTACACAGGGTCACTATGAGTCACTGGCGACTCGACAGCACATAACAACAACAAGCATTTATGTGGAGGTTAAGCAAATGATTGTACGTATAGATAGGAATTTAACTTCATTCAAGAGTCAGAATTGAAGTCATCAATCATGAAGCCAGGGTGCAGTAGAAGGGCTTTTAGGGAAAGAGTGTATAATAATAGATGAAAGAAGGGGAAAATCCCTACAAGACTCTATGGCTTATTGTTGGTTTTCCTCCTTGCAGCTCCACCACACCTTTATATTTTCAAGTGTAGCACAGAACAAATAACTACATCCTTCCATCCAGTTAGCTAGGATGGTTGTTTTTAGGTGTCCTCAGACTACAAGTGAAGGTGACCCTGTGGACAACAAATCTGAGCTTGGCCCCATCCTGACCATTGTCACAATCTGCTCCAGGCTCAAGCTTCCTGTTTCAGTCACCGTGTCAAATTATCTCACTGAGGATCTTCCTATCTTTGACGAGTGTCTGCCTTTCCCAGCATATCTTCTTTTGAGAATGGCCCCCCCGGATAACATGCCCAAAGCATGGGAGACCAAGTTTCACCATCTAAGGTGTTCTCCCAGACAGACTTATTTGTTATTTTGGCAGTCCATAGAATATTCAGTACTCTTCACCTATACCACAATTCAAGGAATCAATTCTTCTTTGGTCTTCCTTATCCATTGCCCAACTTTGAGAAGCATAGGAAACAATTAAAAATACAATAGCTTGGATAAGGTGCATCTTAGTCTTTAAACTGACATCCTTGCTCTTTGGCTCTGTGGAGAGACCTTTGACAACAGATTTTCTCAATGCAGCCTGTTTTGATTTCTTGACCGCTACTAATATGGGTGTGATTATGTTGTTTTTAGGATATTCTTTTTTTTTTTATTATACTAGTTTTATATTTGGAAGGAGGAGTGGCATCCACTTCCGTAAAAGCTTGCCTCCAGAAACCCTATGAACCTGGAGAGAGGATGAAAGGCACCCAAGCATCGAGGACTCTCCTTCATAGGGTCGCTATGAGTCGCCTGCGACTCGACAGCACTTAACAACAACAACAGTTATATACAAATTCTAATACCTTTTTTCCAGAACAGATTCTTCCAATTTCCCTCACTACCCCCCCATCAAATTGATTTATTCCCCCCATGATTTATCCCCCCTGACAATTTCCCTTTTGATCTCCTTGAAAAGTGAATATGATATCTGCATTGGAATTGCATTGAACATGTAGATTGCTTTTTGTAGGATTCACAATATTGAGCTTTCTTATCCAGAACAGGGAACATTTTTCCATTCATTTAGGTCATTTATCTTGTCTTGCAGAAATGTTTGGTGGTTTTGTTGGCACGGGTCTTTTGTGTCTCTAGTTAGGTTTACTCCCAAGTATCTCAATTTGTGTTTGGCTATGGTAAATGGTATTGCTTTCTTAGTTTCCTTCTCTGTGTTTTCTTTGTTACTGTAGAAGAATCCCACTGATATTTGGATATTGATCTTGTATCCTACAACCCTAGTAAACTGGTCCACTGGCTCCAACAGTTTTTTCCACATATCATCTACATTTAGCAACAGTTTAACCGACTCTTTACCAATCCGGATGCCTTTTATATCCTTCTCTAGCTGTATTACCCTAGTAAGCCCTTCCACTGCAATATTGAATAGAAGTAGTGACAGTGGGCATCCTTGTCTGGTCCCTGTTTGCAAGGAAAATGCTTTTAGTCTTTCTCCACTGGCTCTTGGGTTTGCATATACACTTTTCACTATATTGAAGAAATTCCCTTGTATTTTGATTCTGCTAAGTGTCTTTATCAGGAAAGGGTGCTAGATTTTGTCAAATGCCTTTTCTGCAATAATTGCAAAGATCATATGGTTCTTGTTATTTTCTTGTTAATGTGGTGAATTACGCTGATTGTTTTTCTTATGTTGAACCATTCTTGTATACATGTTATAAATCCCACTTGGTCATGATGAATTTTTTTTAATGTACTTTTGGGTTCTAATGGCTTGGATTTTGTTAAAGATTTTTGTGTCTATGTTCATGAGAGATAGTGGTCTGTAGTTTTCTTTTTTTGGTAGTATCTTTGCCTGGTTTGGGTATTAGAGTTATGCTTCCTTCATAGAATGTCTCTGGGAATGTTCCTTTTTTTCCTTTTTTAAAAAAATAATTTAAGTAGAATTGGTGACAAATCTTCTCTGAATATTTGGTAGAATTCAGCCATGAAGTCATCTGGTCCAGAACCTTTTTTCAGGAGAGTTTTTTAATGACCTTTTCAGTTTCTTCTTTTGTGATGAGTCTGTTCAAGTATTCCACATCTGATAGTATCAATCTGAGTAGAACATGAGTTTCAAGGAATTTGTCCATTTCCTCTAAGTTTTCAAGTTCATCAGAGTTTGTTGTTGTTGTTGTTGTTGTTGTATGTGCGATCGAGTCACCTGCAACTCATAACAACCCTATGTTCAACAGCCCTAAACCTTGCTTTATCCTGTGCCAATCTACTGTCTCCAAAACACTCCCATTACCCCAGTCACTGAATCAATCAATCTCTTTGAGGGTCTTCCTTTCTTACGGTATCCTTCCACCCTCCCAAGCATAACATCCCCCTCCAAGACCTGGTCCCACCTTGCAACATGTCCAAAGTTTGTCAGAAGAAGCTTCAGAATCCTTGCCACCAAAGAGTAGCCTGGTCTCGCCCTTTCTAGGTCAAACTTTTTTATTCTCCTAGCAGTCCATGATATCTATCTATCTATCTATCTATCTATCTATCTATCTATATATATCTATATATCTATGTATATATATCTATATATCTATGTATATATAGCTATATAGCTATCTATATCTATCTATCTATCTATCTATCTATCTATCTATCTATCTATCCATCTATCTCCAGTACTTTTCTCAAGCACCACAGGTCAAAGACATCGATTCTCCTGCTATCATTCCTAGTCATTGTGCAATTTCTGATGCATAGCAAGTAATCGTGAAGATTATGCCCTGAATCAGGTGCACCTTAGTCTCCAGAATTATGTCATTGCTCCTCAGTACTTTAAAGAGGTCTAGCTTTTCATAATATTCTGATATTATAGACTTAATTTCCTCTGGTTCTGTTGTGATATCACCTCTATCATTAATTAATCGAGTTATTAGTGATTTTTCCTTTTTTCTTTTTTTTAATTATTAATTTTAGTGAAAGTTTACAGAGACTTTGTAGTTCCATTCATTCATTGTTAAACTTTTCTCCCTACCCACCTCTCCCTCCCAGTTTGCTCTTCTCTTTGAAAAGTAAAAGAAAAATTCTTTCATTGTCATACAGTCCCTCCTCCCAAGCCTACTCCATCAGCCTTTCTTCTGGACTCCTATCATGAAAATAATACCTAATCATATCTTTCTTCTAAATAGTTCTCTCCCTCATCTGTTTCAATGCAGTATACATAATTTATCCCATCTTTCTCAGTCTCCACTCAACCCACTTTCTCAGTCTCCACTCAGTCCCGTTTTACAACAGTGGAACTATGCAGTACTTGTCCTTTTGTGACTAAGATATTTCACTCAGCATAATGTCTTCCAGGGTCACTCATTTTGAATAACATTTCATGAGTTCCTTGCTTTTCAATGCAGCATAGTATTCCATTGTGTGAATTTACCACAGCTTCTCTATCCATTCGTTTGTTGATCGGAATTTAGGTTGTTTTCCTCTTTTTTTCTATTGTGAACAAAGCCACAAAAAACATGGGTGTGTCTATATCTGCTTGGGTTGCTGTTATGTTTCTTTGGGGTGTATTCCCAGTAGCAGAATTGCTGGATCAAATGGTATTTCTATTTCCAACTTTTTGAAAAAGTGCCATACTGCCTTCCATAGTGGTTGCACCATCTTACACTCCCACCAACAGTAAATAAGGATTCCAGTTTCTCCACAACCTTGTCAGCATTTGTTTTTTGCTGTTCTGTTAAATTTTGCTATTGTTACTGGGTGAGATGATATCTCATAGTTGTTTTGATTTGCATCTCTCTTAGAGCTAGGGATTTTGAACATTTCTTCATGTGTTTGTTTGCCATCTGAATGTCTTCCTTGGTGGGCTAAGTTTTGCATGAACACAATTAAGTGGTCTGGGGTTCGCATTCTTCTCAATGTCAGCCATAACCCAGGAGATCTACAGCCTCTGAAAATCCACTGGAGCGTCAGCTATAAATCAGTCCTGACTCAAGAGCAGTGTGGTTGTGAGTTTGTTGTTTTTTAATAGCAAATATGCTTTTAAATGTACTTAAAATGCACACTTCGATGAAAGTGTATTGAAGTTTAATGTCAGCACTGAACAGAGGAAAGAGTAGGGTATTTATCCATTCTACATTGGCTGGATGGGGTAGTCACAGCAGTTTGAAGGGCCTGGGCCATTTTTCCTTATTTTAGCCCCCCTTGTTTTATCTCCTGGGGTGAGTCATAAAACCATAAAAGCTGAACATAGAAATTCCATATGACCCAGCTACTCCACTTCTTGGAATATACTCTGAGAAAATGAGAACTGAGGCACTAATGGAGACTTGTACATCAATGTTCATAGCAGCATTATTCACGATAGCAAGAACTTGGAAATAGCCCAAATGTACAACTGTAGTCGAATGAATTGAGAAATATTGGTACATTCAATGGTGGAATACTATGCAGCATGCAGGAGCAGTGATTTTGTAAATTGCTATCTAACTTATGAGGGACTGAAGAGCATTATCATAAGTGAACTAACTCAGTCCCATAAGGACAAATACTGTATAAGACCATTATTGTAGAACAAGTATGAGAATCTAAGGGTGGGGAGAGTGTGCAGAGAGGGTTAAGGATGGACAAGGGAGGGGTGGTGGTAGTTAATCATAAGTCGCACAGTTTGATGGGTGGAGGGAGGAGTGGGCAAAGTAAATGGGAAAGATCCAGTGTGAAAAATAATGTATATGAACTTGTAAATAACTAGTAAAATAAAATAAAAAAATAAGGGGGGGAAACCCATGTTTAAGGGTAAACATTAATGAGATTATTTACTATTTCCTGGAACCCAGGATAGGGTCAGAAAGTCAGCAAAATGAAATCACTTTGGTTTCAACCTTATATTCCCAATTTAATCTTAAAGGGGGAAAGGGGCGAAGATATTTTAACAACTACTTCCTGTTGAAATGGGGCAAAGACAGGGGAGGGAGCTTGTGTTAAACAAGGCTCAGGTAAAATTGGTTGATACTGAAAGAGAGTTATCAGGTACTGTCTCATGGTTTATTTTGTTAAGCCTTCAATTCGATGAGTGTTAAAGTCCCAGAGTTCAATTGTTTCTGAACTGCAGGGAGGAAAGATCCAAACTCACCATGAAGTCCAGAAGCAATTCCAGCTGAGTGCAGAGCAAATATGCTTTGTTTAAAAATGTGCACTTTGGTGAAAGCAGGCGAGGCTCACTCAATGTCAGCCAAGCAGGATGCTTTTTCACTTGAATATTCAAATGTTTTCATTCTCTAAATCCTGAAGATCATGTCTTTGTCCAGACTTGTTATTTGCCAGCTCCATTATCATGAGAATCTTCTACCCAGTTTCCTACCCTTAGTCTTGTCACCTCCAATGAACACTCCACCTGGCAGCCTCCTCCTTCTCCACCTCATCTTTCTCTCTCTAGCTATTCTCCTCACATTTTTCCCTTTTTCAATTCTTTGTTCTTTAAGGCTCTCACTCAAGTATCTAGGAAGACTTTGTATCTGAACTATAATGTGGGTAAAACATCTTTTTTTTATGCCCACCTCCTGATGTCATATTGTAATAATCTTTGTCCATCTTACCCACTAGTCTGTCAACCACTAAACGTAAAGATCAGGTATTATTTGTCTGTATTATTCTCAGTATCTCACAATGATGCCAACATGACATAATAATATTTTTATGTTAATGATAGCTAATAACATTAGGTGTACTATCCAGTATCAATTACTGTGAATTATGAGAATGCTGCAGAGGAAGGGATGGAAGGGGTGGGAAGTTCCTGACCATAAAGAATTTCACCACATACAGATACACTTAAGAGAACTATGCCATTGTTTTCTTACTGTGTTATAATTGGCTTGAGTGACAAGACCAAGGCTTCAGGGAACAGTGAGGAATGGGGTTAGATGGCAAAGAAATGAACTGACAAGCTAATCGCTTTTATAACAAGTTTTTTCTCTTTCTCTCTTCCTCCCCTCCAGGCACACTGTGATCCTCTTCCTTTTAGTCACCCAGCTGGGTTTCTGCTGTGCATACATTGTGTTCCTGGCTGATAATTTAAAGCAGGTAAAGTCTTCTAGCGAAGGTTAGAAGTCAAGGAGACATGCAAATAAAATGATCCTCTGCTGTTTACCAAACAAACGGATTTTTTTTTCCTTTGACTCTGTCTTTTTCAGTAAAGCAAGGAAACTCAAACTAGATTAGATAGATGATAGATAGATAGATAGATAGATAGATAGATAGATAGATAGATAGATAGATAGATTAGATATAGATTTTTAAAAAAACAAACCAAAAACCAACCAATCACCTCTCTCAGTCTCTATCCCATAGGGTTTGTTCTAGGTGGTTCCTTAGACTGTAATATCCTTCACCCACCATCTTGGGCATATTTCTAAGGTTTGTCTCTAAAATCCAGAGCTTTGATTCATATTTATTTCTCCTGTCTTAGAACATATTTGGCCTTTCTTCTTCTAAAATTGGTATGGATTTTTTTTAATGATCCTATATAGATTGTCTTTCCCAAAGACTCACTCGTTGCTGTCTAGTTGAAATCAACTCAGAGCTGGCCCTTCAGTGGGTTATCAGAAGCTGTAAATGGCATGGAAGGAGACTGTATATCTTCCTTCTGCAGAACAGCTGGTGGATTTTAGCTGCTTGACTTTATGTTGGTAGTACAACTCCTTATCCACTAAGCTACCAGGGCTCCCTGCAAAGAAGATTAAGTATCATTAAAGAAAATCAAGAAAAATGTAGGACAAGGCTGAGTCCATACAATATGCCAATTCGATCTGTTTGCTGAACACATAATCCAAAAGGACTGTATTAAGAAAAAGGTGGTATCAGGACTGGAGGAAAACTCATCAAGAACTGAGGCTATGCACATAGCACAATCTTGATGGCAAAAAGTGAAGGTGACTTGAAGCACTTACTGCAGAAGATCAAAGGCTATAATATGTGTTACATATCAACATCCAGAGAACAAGAAAATCCTCTTAAATGGATCAGTAGGACCAACAGACAGAAAATATTGATGCTGTTAAGAATTTTATTTTATTTGGATCTCCAATCAACATCTGTAGTTGCAGCAATCAAGGAATCAAAAGATGATGCTCTGAGAAAATTTGCTGTCAAGCACCACTTTAAAGGGCTAAAGAGCAAGGATGTCAGATAAGATTTAATTTCTTCGGACATCAAACTATACTAATTTTAATATGCATATGAATGCTGCACAAAGAATAAGGAAGTCCAAAGAAGAACTAATGTCTGTGTACTGTGGTGTTGGTGAAGAGTATTGGATATACCATGGACTGCCAAGGGCTGTGGTGATCTGGTCCTCAGGGACCTGTAACCGAAATGGTGCTCTTCTGGCCAGTGAAATCCATGAGTGGCTTTTAGAAAAAAATTAGTAATCTCTTCCCATGCAATTCACAGTCTCTGAAAACTGACTAGAAAATCAATTATGAGTTGGTTCCAACTCCACAGCAATAAGTGGAAGACTGTCAAAAGAACAAACAAATTTGTCTTGGAAGGAAGTACAACCAGTGTGGTCCTTAGAGGCAAGGAAGATGAACCTCATGTCAAATATTTGGGCATGTTGTCATGAGAAATGAGGCCATCGAAAAAGACTTACTGGGGAAAGGAGAGGTAGCTTGAGAGACAAAAAGTATTATAATGAAATGTGCAAAGAGCTGGAGTCAGAGAATAAAAAGAGAAGAACTTGCTGAACTTTCCCCAGGCTCTAAAAACTGAAAAAACAAATTCAAGTCCCGAGTTGCAATACTTAGAGATGCTATGGAAAAAATCTTGAATGACCCAGGAAGCATTATAAGAATATGGAAAGAATACACAGACTCACTGTGCACACACAGAAAAAGATTGACACTGAAAAATTTCAGCAAGTACCATATGAACAAAAGCCAATGGTGAAAAAGAAAAAAAAAGCCAATGGTGACAAAAATAGACATTTAAGCTATGGTGAAGACACTGTCAAAGAATAAGGCTCCAGAAATAAATAGGATATTGAATGATGTTTTTCAGCTAACAACTCTGGATGTGCTCACCAGACTATACTAGGAAATTTGGAGGATAGGTGCTTGGTCAACTAACTAGAAGAGATCCATAGTTGTTCCTGTTCCCAATAAAGGTGATTTAGTATAATATGGAAATTATGGAACAATATCAGTAATATCACATTAAAGCAAAATATTGCTGAAGATCATAAAAAAATGGCGGGAACAATACATTGACAAAAACCAGAAATTCAAGCTGGGTTTAGAAAGGGCTAACTTTAGGAAGAATGGGAATCTCAGAACACTTACTTTTGCTCATATAAAACCTAGACCAAGAAACTATTGTATAAATAAAGCAAGAAAATGTTTACGATCAGGAAAAGTGTACATCAGGCCTGAATCCTTTCTCTATACCTACTCAAACTGTATGCTGAGCATATAATCTGTGAAGCTGCACTGTATGAAGAAGAATGTGCAATCAGGACCAGAGGAAGATACATTAACAACTTATGTAGATGATACTTATGGCAGAAAATGCAAGATTTAAACACTCATCCAATATTGGAGATTGTGTTGTTGCTGTTGTTGTTCTTGTTATGTGCCATAGAGTCGCTTGAGACTCATAGCGACCCTATGTACAAGAAGAGCTCTTGTACATTTAGAGCAAATGTTCTTCTATCCTGTGGCAACCTAGCCATCTAAAATGCACTTATCCCCACCTCTCCAGTCACAGAATGGATCCATCTCATCAAAGGTCTTCCTCTCCTTCACCGCCCCTCCACTCTGCCAAACATGATGTCCCTCTCCAAGGACCAGTCCCTCCTTGCAACATGCCCAAAGTATGTCAGATGAAGCTTCAGAATCCTTGACTCCAAGAAGCATTCTGGCTTCACCCTCTCCAGGACAAACCTGCTTGTTCTCCTAGAAGTCCATGGTATATTCAACACTCTTCTCCAGCACCACAGCTCAAAGGCATCAATTCTCTTTCTATCAACCCTATTCACTGTCCAACTCTCTGATGCATAGCACATAATTGCGAAGACTATAGCCTGGATCAGGTGCACCTTAGTCTCCAGTCTGACATTGTTGCTCTTCAGTACTCTTGAGAGGTCCCTCACAACCAACTTTCCCAATGTAATTTGCCTCCTGATTTCCTGGCTGCTGTACCTAAGAGTATTGACTATGGAGCCAAGAAAACTAAAACTGTTAACTATCTCAATCTCTTCACCATCCATACTGATGCTGCCAATTGGCTCAGTGGTGAGAATCTTTGTTTTCTTGATGTTGAGCTTCAGTCCATATAGGAGGCTGCAGTCCTTGATCTTCTGCAGCAAGCGCTTCAGGTCCTCCTCAGTTTCAGCAAGCAGGGTTGTGTCATCTGCATAACACAGGTTGCTGATGATTCTTCCACCAATCCTGATGCCACATTCCTCTTCATATAGCCCAGCATCTCGGATGATTTGCTCTGCATACAGATTGAAAAGGTATGGAGACAGAATACATCCCTGGTGAACCCTCTTCTTGATTTTGAGCCATGTAGTGTCTCCCTGCTCTGTTCTGACAACTGCCTCTTGGTCCAAGTATAAGTTTCGCATTAGCACAATCAAATGTTCTGGGATTCCCATTCCTCTCAGAGTCAGCCACAGCTTGTCGTGATCCACACAAACCTTTTATTACACGCAGGTCAGGAACATTAGCTAATACCCAAACCATTCTAACCATGAGGGCACGCAAAGATCGGGTTTAAATATAGAGATTGGCCATCGGGGTTACACCAAGTTTACTGTGTTTGGCAGTTGGGATGTTTTAACATTTGGGAGTCATTGTTTCTGACTTCTCATGGGGGGCTGGAATCCAGGTTGAAATTCGTCTGCAGCAGATGGATTCTACAGAGGGGTTTTTTGGTTTTTTTGCTGGTTCTGGTGATGATTAGGGTGAAAGTGTACTCACATTCTTCTAAGTGGTTTAGCACTGGTCTATTTGCTGTACAGAGATAACTCATGGTTACTGTGATGCTCAGTATTGTGACACTAATGTGTCAAATGCAATAATGGTTACCCCTGGTGGGCAGTGTTTGGTGGAACTTCCCAATTAAAACAAGCTTAGAAGCAGGAGTGGCATCCACTTCCAAAATAGCTTGCCTCCAGAAACTCTATGAATATGAAGAAACAATGAAAGTTATACAAGTGTTCAGGTTTTTCCTTCATAGGGTTGCTATGAGTCATCTGAGACTCAACAGCATTTAACACCACCACCACCACCATAACAACATCGGTGTCCAGGCTCTGGGCCAGGTACAGCATGTATTCAGGGAGTGGTAACCAAGCTGAGTCAGCACGTACTAGGGAACATAAAACTTAGCAACACATATTATTTCCTGATTTTAAACCTTCTCTTTCTCTTTTATTCTCCTTTGAGGATCAAGGTGTGCCTGATCAAAGCCAATCACTTACTATGCATCTGAGAGCTAGACAATGGATAAGGGTGACAGAGGGAAAATCCATGGCTTTGAGTCATGGTGTTGGAGAAAAGTATTGAATATCCTAGGGACTGAAAAAACAAACAAACAAATATGTCTTAGGGAAATTGGAACCAGAGTACAACCCTGAGGCAAAGATAGTGATGCTTCATTTCACATACTTTGAACGTGTTACTGGGAGAGGCTATTCCTTGAATAGGGATATCATGCTTGGAAAGGTGGAGGGTCAGTGAAAAACAGGAAGACACCCCAACACAGTGGAATTGACATGGTGACAGCAATCATGGGCCCAAATCTATCAGAGATGGTGAGAATGGCACAGTATAGGACAGGATTCATATCTTTTGTTCATTGGGTCACTGTGAGCCATACTTGACTTGATGGCACCTTAAAACATTTGACTGTGTACATCACAATAAACTGTGGCTAACTCTGAGAACAATGGGAAAAGCAGAATATTTGATTGTGCTTATGTGAAACCTATACTTGGACGAGGAGGTAGCTGTTAGCACAGAGCAAGGAAATACTGTATGGTTCAAAATTGGGAAGGCTGTATGCCAGGGATGTGTCCTAGC